AAAACAAAAAACAAATCAAAGACAACAATTTCTCAGGCTTACCAGTCGAAATGCTGCTTCTGAAGGTCATCAAGTGTTCCAGAATTTTCAACCCTCTTACGCCTCAAGCAAAGGCAAGTGAGTAAGCTCATTTTTGAAAACGATGCCATCCGAAATCGGATTTCCAATGACTTTGACAAGCGGTGCATTTGTCAACAAAAAGCGCAATAAACAAACCAGCCATGAATTACAGAAAAATCTTGATAGTAGCTGTATTTCGTTTTGTACACCAAGTAGAAAAAGCCAGTTTAAAACATCACAAGATGACACAAAACTCTGTAAGCTCCAGCTATCAGTAAGCAAGTTTCCAGACGCTGCATAAATTTTCCGCATGAACTCACCTGTCAAATTTTGACCAATCAGAACATAAAAATTGGACGTAGAGCGTGATCAACGCGTGACAGTGAGAAAAGTCAAAAATGGTTGCCTTCCCCGCATGTAAATGTAAAAGCCGGTTGAATTTTCGCGTCCGAGGTCAGTTCGAAATCAACATTTTAAAAGTGCGGCTCATGAACTCGACTTATTTCATATGCTTTTTAAAAAAATGGAACTTGAGCATGCGATAGTTGAAAAGTAGCAATTTGTCAGCGGATACGTTAAAAAAACATTCGAACTCAGTGGGTCGATACCTGAGCCCGCGATAGGGACAGGCGATACTGGTCAGCAGAAACACTATTTTGACATCTGTCAATTAATCAAAACATGGAGGTACAATATCAGGTTGCAGGCTCCCAAACTAGCTAGAAAGTGTGAGATTAAACATTGGTATACCTGTGGTGCGGACGGACGGAAGGTCGGGTGGTCGGTGGTCGGTGTATGGTCACGTGATTGCCGAATTTTCTAAGATGGATCGATTTTCTAGGCTATGGGACTTCGAATTGAGCCCGTGATCAAATAAAATATCAGCGCAAAACTTTAAACACTACGTGACCTCAATGGATAGACAAATGAGCCCGCGATACACTCAGATGATGTTGGTCAGCGTATACTCTAGTTTGACAGCTGTCAATTAACCTTCATTAGAATGGCGAATATTCGAATTAACAGACTACGAGTGTTAGTAAGACATATCCGTCCGGCATGTGGTGGAAAATGCCAGATCGTGTACATGAGCGAACCTCAGCCCACGTTATTAGTTTTCTGATAGTGGTCTGCACATGTCCCATTTTGACAGCTGTCAATTGACCTTAATTTGGCTTGCCAATATATCTTTAAGCGACTGTCAGCCAACTGACAGCCTTGCCCGGCGTAGTTTTCTTTTTATGTTGAATTGGTAAGTGTGACATATTATATCAGCTTATATGTAGGGGCAAAATGACTGGTCTTTCATCTGAGCCCGCGAGATAGTCATGTGATAATTGTCAGCGGATGCCTAATTTTGGCAGCTGTCAATCTAATTGTACTCATACGGATGGGTTACATAACTAAGAGGCTAGTCGAGTTGTGCAAGATCTATTGAGACATTTGACATCGGCTTACATGAAGCGTGTGTACGGGTGGGCGGGCGGGCGTACGCTACGTCATAACCAAATTTTCTCAGATGGATAGTTTACCAAATTTTCTTACCCATGGTGCTCCGCTCTGCGCGCGCGAGGAGCTCCGCTAAAAGTCCGGGTGGCTATGCCATTTACCACCAAAATGCGCCGGTACTTGAAATTCAAAATTTCACCCCAGCTTACATAAAGGATGGACATACGTACAGACGTACTCCGTACGGACGATTTTCTCAGAGTCAAAATTCCTTGGATGCATAGATTACCTTCAGTAAGTAATGTATTTTGCTCGTTGATTTTAATAAAGTCTTTCTCAAATCATCTTATAAATCACAGTGAAATAATATGTGCATTTCATTTTCAACCAAATTTAGGTTGCAGTGATCACAGATCCTAAGGTCTTCAGGAGTTTTGGGAATTGTAAATCTTCCAGTTTCTATTTTTACATTATGTTTTCCCATCCTTAATTTGGAAGCTACACGCCCATGTTCAGGATTCCAGATATGATTGATGCATTCACAGTAATTTGTTTCATTTTTAAAGATGGAGTAGAATTTTAGTTTTTATCTGTTCTTATCAAATTTAGCTGGTGTTTTTTAGATGTTTTGACAAATTATTTTCAGCTTTGGATAGGAAAGCAGAAGGGTTTTTAAAGTTACCTGATTGATTATTAATATTAAGTTGTGTACAGAAAAGATTTATGTTATTTATTAGATCTGATTTATTTTCCTCGGCCATTTCATTCGATATGTTTAAGCAGAGTGTAGCGATATTGTGAGGGGGCTGACTTTCAAGGTGAATCCAAAACTTGAAAATGTTCATTGTTATTTGTAAATTGAGAGAGAATCTGCCAAGTTCATTTCTCGATGCAACATTCGGTGAACGTTTGTTTAGACCTAAACACATCGTACAAAAATGTATATGCGTTTTCTCAATGGAGTCTTTATCCCAGCAGCTTTAATTACTTTTATGAGACCTCCTATCTATTGACCACCCCTGCTTGGACTTCTTGGCATGTATCAGGTCATTTACGATAATCATGACTTCCACTGATGCACCACACCAAGTTTGATCTCTGCCTGCAAGCACATTTTTATGTTTGTGGGTGGGTACGCCTTGGCCTTTAGCTAACAAGTCTAATGTCAGTAACTTGCCAACATTTCTTTCTTCGATGGAAGAATGCAGAAGACTAACTGTACTTTCATCTGCAAAAGAATGACATAAGAAAACTGGTGCTACTACATTGTCTGCCTTGTTATTAATAATGACTCCCAATTTGTCGTAATTGACTGCAGACTACAATCATGATTTTTTTATTGCCTTAACAATACAATTGTCATAATGGTTGGTCCCTTTGAGGCATGACTTGCGGACTGTGTGTGTAAGAAGGGGGCAAAAAAGAGTTGGAATCCTGGGCCATGTTAGAAGTTACATAAAAAAGAGGCAGTGTTACTTGTTTACAACACTATAATACTGGCATTATTTGATTACTGCAACATCTGAAGCAGTTTGCTACAACAAGATATTGATAGACTACAGCACATTCAAAATAGAGCTGCTAGGATAATCACACATCGTACACTCTCTTCTGAGGCTACAGCGTATTTGCCTTGGCCGACTCTTTCTACCAGACGCTCCAAGCTACTTTTTATCATATTTTACTAGATTTTCAAATATTCATGACTATACTGCAAGACAGAGTATAAGGCTATCCTTACCAAAGGTCAAACTTAATTGTATTATAATAATCATAACTATAACAAAATTGTCAAATCTGATTGGCTATCAACTGCCCTGATTTCAGCCTTAATTGGACGATTAAATAGGACAGTACGCGTCATCCCTAAGTAATTGGACAGTACGCACCATCACGCGCGCGCTTAAATGGCCTTTTTTTTCACTGCTAGTAAAACAAAATTTCGAATTTCTTGTGTTTTGATTTAAAAAATAGTCTATTATATTGCAAATTTTGTGAAAGTTATGATTAAACAAATCGGACTCCCGCTATGCGGTCGTCCGATTTTGTTAATCACTCGTATGATTACAGACCGAATTGGACTCCACTCAGTCCTGTGACCATCACTAATAATACTTTAGGGACTCTAAAAAAATGCGTGATTATTTGAAGATTTAATATCTCTGAAATGCCTTTTCGGGGAAAGGTTTTTGTCACCACCTTCACAGTTCCTTGTCATCGGCTTTTTAGAACCGACTTCGCTGTTCCCTACTGCATCTAAGACTGGACTGAATATGACAAAGAGAATATAATGTTAACTGAGTGCCAAACTGTAAGCCTGCTCATAAAAAAAGGCGGGGATGATTGAAAACATATTCCAGACTCAATTACTGATCAAACCATTTTCCGAAATGGACTGTAAGGTATTCTTTCAAAGGACACCGTCATCCATGTATCATATCTATTCATTGAAAGATAGCGTGTCCCTATAGTACCTTGGCAGATCTCCTATTGCTCACGTCATCCATTAATGGACTGTAAGGTATTCTTTCAGTGGACACCGTCGTCTGTTTATGATACCTATTCATTGAAAGATGGCGTATCTCTATAGTACCTTGGCAGATTTCCTATTGCTTTCGTCATTCATTAGGTCCATGTCTTCAGTGGATAAACTTTAAACCACTTCAGTTGTCAAAGGACCTTTCAGTTTTTGTTGTTTCAAAACACATCTCCCTGCCAAATCAAAAAGTTTACTAGGCACGATACAGGTAGCCTTAAAGGCAATCTGCAAAGTTCCAGATCCAAATGGCTGGGCTGGAAATCATGAACGTCTAGAACTTCTAGTGGCGATCATAAAAGATGGAATTGCCAGTGGTAATTCTACAACGTGAAGGGAAAAAAATGCCAGTAAGAGAATGATAGTTTGATAATAGCATCTTGACGTGCGTTAACAATTTCCACTCAGGGTGTGAACTGTTTCCAGACTTGGAAGGCACCATTCAATCGTTCGGCACAAAGGAGGACTCTTGAAAGAAAAAAAGTAATAGAAAAAAAGGGTCTGAACGAAAAGTTTCGAAATTGACAAAAAGGGAATGGATATATAATTATTATTTATCATCATATTCAAGAACTAGGACAAGGCAAGTGGGGCCTGTATTCTAAGCGTTGGGTTCCTTTATTCGCTGTATTTCTGGTTATTAAGTATCATTTCCAAATATGACAATTTTGCTTTTTACCAGTTTGCCTGACTGGCAGTAGTGCGATGGACTTTCCTAGTTTAATCACAGCTGATGGCGTAGCTAGTCAACACAGTCGCGTGTGCCGATGCCTCAAACCCGTTTTGTCTCCTTTTTTACGATTATCTATATATGATTCTATCTTCTGTTACCATTGTATACTGATAAAGCATTGTTGCTCAATTTTTTTCTGTAACATCGATATATCTCTTCGTGCTCTGGGAGACTGATACCAAGAACGTAGTACTCGGACGTGTTCTTGATTACTCCAGCTTCTTATCGAATTTCTTCTAAATCTTTTAACTTTTTCTCAACTATGACCAGAACCGAGAAACTAAGGAAAGAAAACCAAACGTTACAAAAGAAATTCAAGATCTAAACAATCAACGGAAGAAAATCGCTGACAACATGTTGCAAGCAAAGCAGCAAACTAGCGATATTGATATCCCCACCATACTGAAAAAGGTACAAGTAGCCAGAACTGTCTAAAAATAAATTGTTGCCCATTAGTTTCTACTTTTACTATTAATTTCCTTAATTCTTCTTTTCTTTAGTCTGTTGTCTAGTCCTCATTCGTATTACAATTTTTAATCATTTATTTGGAAACTGTAAACTTTTTCTCGTCCAGCGTCGAAAAGGCTTGCTATGTCAAGGCAATAATTCTGTTATTGTATTTGTTTATTAATAAAGTTTTGTTGTTGTTGCTCTTGAAGTGAAGTGTGCATGATACTTGCATTCCCTGCCCCATCCCATTTATCTATTTCCTTATTTTCGGTCATTTGCTTTCAACCATGGGTAACTCACACTTTTCTCTATTGATTTCCCTAGAAAGGTAATTCAATAAAATAAACATGTAGCAGGTGAATCGCCTTTTTACCATTTCCTCTCCAGCTTTCCGGTAGAAATAAAACTGCTTTTTTTAATATTACTATCCATAGTCGGTTTGGGCCCCGCAATGTCTTGAGCAATGTAATGCAAAATTGGCAGAGATTGTTAGCCTGCTCTCTCTTACCTTAGCATGGGATTCTCCAGGGTCTTAAGAGTCAGCCTTTCCAATGTGCCAACACCCACACTGCTCGAAGATACCTGCAAAGTGTATGTCAATACTTTTACGTGTTTAAAAGCTACCACACGGGGCGATGATGAGATACAAGTTTAACAGGGGTCGCTGTAATTTCCTGTAAAAGTAAATTAAATTTTTCCCACAAGCATTTCAGAAAGAGTCTCTAAACCTCAAAGTACAAATAGTTGTATTACATTATGCTTAACATTAGTTGATAGCATGTCAGAGGAAAAATGAACATCTCAATCAAACTTCAAATTGTAGATTGTAGATTTGATGATCTGGTGTCTTGAAGGCATATGAGAAATTCTAGGTCATCTTTTGATACAGTTTAGCCTTTATTTATGTACATCTCTGTGGTGCTGACAGTTTAGTTGGTCCAAAAGAAAACAAAATTCATACAATTCTAAATATTTATCCGTCTTTTTGGTGTCGGCATATTGTTTATATTTGGGAGGAAATATTTTGTTTCTTTAAAATCATGGACTTGAAAACATAATTGACAGAAATCTCGTCAATAATTTTTGTGGTCCACCAGCTGACTTGTTTACATACCTTGTTTCCTCTGACATGTCTCCTCCAGGTACTGAAGGAAGAACTGGAATGACTGATCTTCACGGGACCCTGCAGAGACACTGTGATCCTTCATTACTCTGCTTGAGCACACCAAAATTCACAGTAGCCTCATCAACACTGTTGAATAGTTCCTTTGTGACCTTAGGTTGACTATCCATGAGATCAGCAAGTCCGAGTGCATTCAGACCCTCTCTCACCTGTTTCATTTCTGCTAGTTTCTTGTGTACAACTTGATAAATCATACGGTCATAGGCCACCTCAGTGGTATTATTCTTTGTCAGGAAAGGGGCTGTTACTCTACACTGATCCATCAAATTCAAAATTGCATCAACTTGTAATTGCGTATCCTGTTCAGCATCCATCAAAATCTCCCTTCCCTATGACCTTACCGCTGTGTCTGCATGTGGCCTGTAAAAGGGCGAGTCACGACTTTAGGATCTGGCTACTATCCTCTTAAGTGGACACTTACAAACACTCTTTCTATGTGAGATCAATCCCTGCGTGGAATGCGTTATCAGCTAATGTTGTTAGTTCGGCATCTTACCCAGAATTTATCTGAAGAGTGTCCACTACTTTAACATATTAACTTAATCACATCGTTTATTTTCATACGATGTAATTCAATACCATGTAAATGTTTCATTGTAATCTCATACTACGTATTTGAGCGACCACTGGCCGGTCCATTGCTGGAGTAGGACAAACGCTATTGGCGATTACCTTGATTAAAGATGAACGTAAAGATAAACTTGAGAATATGATATACCATGACATGTATATTTAACAATTATTCCTCGAGCCTGAATGGGCTGTGAGTAAATAGCCCATGAGGCCAAAGGCCGAATGGACTCTTGACTCAGAGGCCATGAGGGCGAGAGGAATATTTGTTTTAGTAAAATCCAACTAGTGGGTCAAAATATAGAAACAATACATTTTAGCTAGTTAAAGCAAGACTTAAATCCATTGTTTTGGTTTTCAAAAAGCTGGCACTTTTCACTTGGGCTATAACATATAGCCTAGTAGTAGCTCAACCAATCAGAACGCAGCATTGATAATAGACCAGTAGTTGGATTTTACTAAAAGGTGTTATCCTTTGCCTTTTCAAAACCTTTTCTTTTTCCCCTTACTGAAATAAAAAGTTCAACCCAACTTTTTGCCTTTTCAATAAACTGATTGACTTGTTTGTAACGAGTACAGATCTTTAAATTGTTCCCATATTACTGTAACTGTTTCTGAGGTTGTGTGATGCAAGGGATTTGAAAGTAAGTCCTGTAAGAAGTTTTTTTGTCATTTCCCAATAAACTAGTTAAATCGAAAGTAGCAGACCCCTTACCATCAGCATTTGTCTTCTCCCAGATTTCAAAACCTATACCACATGACCGTATTTTAGTCTGTAGTTTATCCCTATGAACACCAAAGCTCGATTTAAAAGGGTGGTAGCCCTAACTCTTTTAAAGACTTCTCTTTTTTATGGTTGGTTAAAAAGGTCGTTTATTGAAGTTTGGAGCATTAATAATTTCTAATATCTTGCAAGAAATCTTACAAAATATTCAAAAACATTTCTGTACTAAAATGACCGATTTAGGTCATGCGCAAATTGAGTAATAAATTGTAATATTATATAAAGGATGCCTTTGAGTTACACAACTTTTTGATGTGAGCAACAGACTGGCACCAGGTCATGACCAGGTGCTCCAACTTCTCCAGTTCTTGGTACCACAGTAAGACCACTCTAAACTTGTAGAAGCAGTTCTGCTAGGTAGGTCTCTATGACAGGATCACCAATCATTACCATTAAATTAGTTTTAGATAGCGTGTCCCTGGTGACTAGACTGTGAGAAAACAAAAGAAAAAGTTCATAAGAAAAAACTCCCTATTGTAAACCAACAATGTGTTGGGATTTGAAAGAGCAATAGGGATCTCTTGACGGCTTAGACGTCTCAGTTGATGAAATTTGATAAGTGGATATCTGCTATTTTTAAATTTCTTAATACTTTTGCTAAAAGCATAATATGTAGATTTAGGCAGGGCTAAAAGCGAAGAGCTTCTTAATGGGGAACTTAAGAACCAGGATGACCACTGGACATGAGATACAGTGCACTGCGCAAGCCAGCAAATTTCATTGTGGTAGTGACCTCGACACTGCCAAACACAGTAGAATAATGTCGTCCTGCAGTCCACAAGCTTCAGCAGGTACAGATCAACAGGGTTAAGAGATTTTTGAAGTTCTTTGTATTTTTGTTTTATAAATTCAGGTATCCTTCCTTTTTTCTCGTAACAAGCGATGTGGATTGAAAAGTCGACTAATGATTTGTTTTTACTTCGATGAATGTCAACAGCTGTGGAGGATGAAGGAGTGAACTCATAAGTTATTTGTAAGTATTAAGGAAGGCAAATCATCTATCTTTAATATAGAGTAAATAACATTGATATGGAAAACAGCCATTGCAATGCAATTCAGTGGAAATAGGTGTTTCCGTGGTGGAAAAATCAAAGTGAAAACGTGATTGCATATGACTGACATGTCTCTTACTTAATCCGAACAATTGATCCAAACAAATTCCTCGATGAAAAGCATCTTAAGCCCATACAAAGAACCTTCTAAGCTGTAACAAGTAAATCCTTGTTCACACGGTATGGTCTCTGAAATGACAAGAACATCTACGAGTATCAGAATGATCTTAACTCTGAGAGACACTCGGAGTTGGTCATCTCTTTCAGGTTGAAAGTTGAATAATCTCCGCATGGAAAGCAAGGATTTTTCCATTTGAAAAGGTGAGGCAACACTAAAAAGTCTCAAAAAAAAAGATCTCCATTATTTTAAAAGATGCCATTGTGAGAAAAAACTGTTGCAAACAAACAGTTTTACATTTATGTTTAAATATCAGTGTTGTCGTTGACCTAGTGACCGACTGCATATGAACTCTCCTTTTTCCTGTTGAAATGGACGTTGTTGTTCCAGTGGCTTCCCAGAAAACAGATGATTCGTAAGTTCCCTAATATATATAGTAAACTGAAACAAAATTATAAAATCATGTAATGTTAAGTGGCGACAGCAAGAAAAACAGCCAAAAAACAGTAGGTCTAATTAGCAAAAACCACTTTGCATATACAGCACACTTTGTTGTACATTTCTTTGCTGCTGTTTTCATGACGACAATGTGAAACTTCCAAAAACTTCCTAGTTACACGCTCTAGGGAGGAAATACTGTATGGGATGCTGTTCACATTTTTTTTTTCTGCTGCTCATTTTCACCTTGGTGGCCGCTAGCATTTCTCATTTTCTCACCACCACTGTAAAATGTTCATTTTATTCTTCAAACGAAATTGATCTCCTTTGTTTTTTTATTTCTGGCTCTAGCTCTTTCTCTGATATGCACATCAATGTAGACATTAAAATTAAGTCAGAAGAAAAAAATTGACTTTGTGGTTGTTTTCTAGCGCTAAAAGTCCGGGTGGCTATGCGATTTACCGCCAAAACGTGCGGGTACTTGAAAAGGAAAATTTCACCCCAGCTTACACGAAGGGTGGACATACATAGGGGCGCTTTTCTCAGAGCCAAAATTTCTTGGATGCATAGATTACCAAATTTTCTTACACATGGTGCTGCACTGCACTCACTAAACGCGCGTACGAAAAAGTTCCGCTATTAGTTTTGTTGAGCTTTTTACAGTTATAAAAATAACAGCTCCTCTTCTAAACACCCTTCTATTACCCACTCCCACTTGGACCCCTTGGCATTATCAGGTCATTTACTGTACTCATGACTTACACTGACGCACCACACCAAGTTTGATCTCTGCTTGAAAGCATACTTTCATGTTTGTGGATGGCTACACCTTGGCCTTTAGCTAACAAGTCTAATGCTAGTGACGTGCCAACATTTCTTTCTTTGATGGAAGAATGCAGAAGACCAATCTGACTTTCATCTGTAAATGTATAACCTCATCAAAAAACCAACTGTTAGTACTACAGTGTCTGCCTTGTTAATATATAGATTTAGCCAGGGCTAAAAGCGAAGCTCCCTTAATAAATTCATAATTTAAATCAAACAATAAACTTGTAATCCACAGATCAGGGCACATTCATTTGACTTTTTGAGGCAAAGGCTGAGTGATTTTAGAGAAAATCAGAATTGACCGTCCAAGAGTGAAACAAATTTTACATCAAGTTACTTGTACAATCGAAAAAATAGCAATCATGTTCGATCACAGTAGATTAGGCCTGGAAAACAAATAGACCTATTCGTGTATTGTATTTGCATTAGCTGTAGCATCATAATGTGGATTCACCAGTCTCTCCAACATTGCTCCGTTAGAGAGACTATGGATGATTGACAACCCCAAATATAATTTTAAGAAACACATGTGCCACGATAGTCCTTGGTAGCAGCCAATTTACACGTTGCATTCCTCTGTCTAAAAAGAAAGGCCAAAATAAAAATCAGGCCCGATTTTTTGTGTTCGACAAGTTTAGTTTACTAGTAAATCTTGGCGACGAATCTGGTGGCGTGTAAACCAGCCTTTTAAACATACTTTTTCTCATCACGCCTCAGGTAAACAGTACACAGACCTCGGACAGAATTTGTTCTTTTTTGCCCTATTTAAACTTATAATTCTGCAGTTTTTCACAATTTTGGGCGTTTTAAAAAGACTTAGAAAAAAAAAAAAAAATTTTTTATGATAATAGCTGAAATCCCAAAGGCTAACTATTGTTCTTTCTTTTGTTTTCTTTAACAATGGATGAATGCATAATTAATGTATGGGGTTATACGGAAATCTTGCCGGACTACTAACAATCAATAAAATAAGTTTAATTCGGTGAAACATGTACAGAGACAATAATTTTCATTCACGAAGAGAAGTATTGAGAGGAAAGTGTCTCAGAAAATCATGAGTCAGGCAAGCATGTTTATTTATGTTTTTAAGCCAGCTTCCGGTGTTCGCTTTTTTCAAGATGAACTCGAGGCAAGAAAAAATCGCTCAGAGCTTTGTGTTTACAGCCCAAAACATAACTAAATAATCTTCGAACCTTTTCTTTGAATTTGCGGGTCCAAAAATGTCTAAAGGCTTTTTAAACCTGATACTATTGTAGGTTAGATCATTGCTCGTGTTTTAACTTAAGCCGCATAAACCATACGCCGACTTCAGGAAACCGAAAAAAAAAACATCAAAACAATAATGACTCAAGCTTACCAGTCGAGATGCTGCTTCTGAAGGTCATCAAGGTTCCAGAATCGCTTGAGACTTTTCAACCTTCTTACGCCTCAAGCAAGGGCAAGTGAGTAAGCTCATTTTTGAAAACGATGCCA